TCGGGATCATTTTCCCCACCATATTTCATTTAAAGTGTACGCTTACTTAGTCAATAAAATTGTTTAGTCGGATCGTCTGTGACCACTCCCTTCATGTTTTTTTGTTCTGTAGCCATGAGCGAAGGTAATTGGATGATACTAGAACCGATAATGCTAGTCGAGTCTTCAGCTCCGGAAGAATTTCAAGGTTCTCTGTTGGCCGCAATCACTCGTCGCAGTGGTCTGATTGCAAACGCGGAAGCTCACGACGGTTACGTAACTATTGAGGCTGAGGTAAGCTATGCACTAATCTCTTAAATGACTCTAATAGCTAAAATGTTTGGTTAGGCTTTGAGATTTGGTAGGGGGTATAGTTCATGATTGAAGCGATTTAGTGTAAACGCGATGAACTGCATGGTTCAAAGACAGTAAAAGGAAGAGTGACTGTCGAGGAGAAATGTTCACGTTAGTCAGAGTTGGTACATTCTGGTTCTGTAGAACTGTAGGTTGTAGGTGGGAGTGAAAGCGTTGGAAATTAATCACTCTCCCGTATCTAGCGCCATTACCTTTGAGTTATCGACCGTGATCTCGTTGCTTGTCCCTGTGCAGCTTTACTCCAAATCCCTCCTTTACGTGTTTTTTTACCCCTGATGNCACGCGTTGATAAAAATCCTGGGATGTGTTGTTGTCGGAATTAATGACGCGATCCGTCGGGGTTGATCAGGGTCCGTATTGTGCCGAGCAAACCACGACATGATGATTTTCACAAAAAGGAAACGTCCCACGATTCACTCATCAGTGCGACACCGCTAGGTTGCCCAGACCAGAACAGGTGAATTCCCCCAAGGGATTCACCACGGGGGCAATTGACCAACCAAAGCCTGACAGTGCAGCTGGGAGATGTGTGAAAACCGCAGTCCACTTGGGCCGACATTCGGTTTATCGGATCATTCGCTCATTGAACAAGGTCAAGCGTCCAGGAAACCCCCACACACCTCCATGTTGGCTTTTCATTCTCTGACTTTGGTGGACCAAATCCTCCGTCATGAGAAGACAGTAATTAGAGCTTTCTCGAAAAGGCCATTTCAAACACTCAGTTTTATAGAGGGGCGTTTCCCGAGGTGCAAGTGTACGGTAAACAACAACAACCGGAGATACGTCGCCCGCCCCCTGGAGGCGATTAGGTACATGGGCAACTAAACTCACCAAAACATGCTCCCCAAACGGTCGACAAATACTCAGAGGTCGCTCAGGTAAACATGATCTGGAGTGTCAGCGTACAAGAAACAGTTTAGGCTGTTTAAAATCGCACTATTGAACAAACCTTACTTTACGTTTTCCCATTGACGAGTTGTACGCAACCGTCAAACATTTAGTACTAGCAAACTGTGTTATAGTGAAATAATCAATCAACTTCTTGCTCGTTCTATTAATCTTTCAACCCGTTTTATTTCTTCCACCCGTGTGATTAAGGTACCTCTAAACGATATGTTTGGCTATGCCGGGGAATTGCGTAGTCTAACCGAAGGCAAAGGTGAATTTTCCATGGAATATCTCAAATACTGTCCGGCACGCCAGCCAACTGTGGACAAACTGATCGAGGAGTACGAGAAAGCCCAGGAGGAGAAGTTTGCCGCAACCGGCAAGTCCGGGGCTGTCGCGGGCGGGAACAAGAAGAAGCGGAAACGATAGGCGTGTCCTTTTGTAAGTGCGCACTCAAACTAACCAGTCAATTCGATCTTTAGCAATCGACCGCTTGAAATAAATGACTATTATCACGATGAAAAGTGAACTTTCAAGTACAAATTCTTATTGAACTCCTCAACCTTTACGATCTACCACTATTTGTCCGGGGTGCGTGGTACCTCGGGATGGCTCGTCCGCCGGGCTTCAAAATGAGGGAAGTAGTGGTACATCGATTTAGACAAGACGTACTATAGTTTTTGCAGTCTGTCACAGTAACGCACCACCATTATTGTTACGGAATCCGAACTAAATGGGCAAATGTATGGGTTGATAATAGACTGCAATAAGAGCCTCATCACCTGGATATTAGATTAATAGAATCATCGGTGTATCTAAAGAACAAACGCATCATCTTTGTGGTTCCAGTTGGGCAGTTCGGAAAGACTAACGGAATACGTGGAGGACAATAACACCTGACCGGCTCTAGCTGTTCGGTAAATTTGATTTTAGGAAATAAGTGTATAGCAGTGCAGTATATCTCGAAAGTTACATCGATCGATAGTGGCCAGTCTGAGTCTTTCCTCAAATTTGGTTTAAAATTTCATATTATCATATATCATCATTGTGAAAATCTGTGTAAATCGCATCGCTATTCATAAGTTTTTATGGGACCCTAAACAAAGAATTTCTGTCCCCACGGCTATTTCGATTAAATGTTGTCCCTTTGGTTCAGTCACTTGCATTCACAACCTCGTGACTATCTCACCGCAATGCACGACTTGCTTTCTGATGCGTTTTCAAGAGGTGCAGCTCTTCTTCATCATTTCCATTTCTCATTTAAATCACAATTACTTGTGAGTAGTGTTGTGGGATAATTGACATTGATTGATTGATTGGAACTGACCATCTATCAAACTTCACCTTCATGCACATTCCTCAGCTCTTCCAGTTAACGATACACTTCGGGGTAGGTAGCGGATGGATAAAGGTGGATAGAAGCTGTCAAAATAAGACCTGACATGAGGATCGACAGACCCTAACCAGGAGACTGGGTCGGATAGATCCCCTCATTCTCCCTTTTAGCACCGCAAGTAGTCTGAAGCTATAACGCGCCTACGTATTCAATCGTTCGGGCTTATGATGAGGTTTTCCCAGGCAAGCGCGAATTGAGGAGGAAGTCGAGTACGAGCGTATGAAGTGTATGTGACCTGCAGCGGAAATTGTACAGAGAGCAAAGCGCACGATACAACTCACCGGAAATTGTGTCAGGGTCGAGGTCATAAGAGTTCTCGAAAAGGAGGACAATAAAACAAAATAGGGTCTTTACATTGATCACGGGAATGGCGATAAAAAATGAAAAGAATGTTACTACACAGCCCCCCCCTTAGAAGGTTGGTGAGGAACAACAAACCTTCGAAAAGTCAAATGAAAACGGTGTAGATGTGTGTAGTACGTGTGTAGTGAATGAGGTTATAGTAGACAGGAGTCCCATGGTTAACCAGTCTGTTGCAGTGGCTGAGGGAAATGGACAACACAAAAGGTGTGCGTGTGTATGCAGTCCATAGTCTGGTGGTTTAGGAACAGACTCGGCGGCCACAAAAGCGTGGTGTACAGGTTGCGCAAAAACAGTACGTGTTAAAGAACAGGACTTGCAGATAGTTGTAATCGAAGGCCAAGGAAGTGTAGTTGAGGCCGATTCGAGTCCACGTTCGTCTACCGTGAGGTCATCAGTAGCGTACGGATGTTTCGATCATATAGAATCGGTTGTGAGCTGGTTACGGAGCCAGTCGGTGCCAACTTGAATAACGTTCCAGTTCGAGTGAGACGTCGGCGACTGACAGTGGAATGCCATTGGTGACGGGGGAGAATTGTCAAAGCTGTTGTACGTGCGCTGAAGAGAAGAAAGCAAAGGATGCTGCAGGACACGGGGTGGTCTGCTCGTAGCCCCATTACACCGACACAATGGTTTATCTTCCGCCGGGTGTGTGGGGCCGTCCACGCGGGTTGCCTGGTCGATAAAAAAAACTGGCCGGGGCAAACCAGAAAAAAGACCAGGCCGAGATCACCGTCACCAATGATTAGAGACACTGAGCGATATGGTTAGGTAGCGCTCGTTTATTCACTCATTATCCTTGAATCCCCAGTCGGTATGGTTTCTCTATCTTCCCTTTGACTCCCCTCTCCACATTCCATTCTTTATTCTGCTTTTTTATTCAAATGTGTAACCAAAATCAACGCACAAAAAGGCATGGAAACAACTAATTGAGGCTGTAGAGCTCTGTAGTGGTGAATCACTTCAGGCCCGAATCAGGTGCACTTGATTTCCATCCGGACAATAACATATCTACCTGTCAGCAAAGCGAACTCCCATTGGCCTGGCTCCAGCTTCAGGTCTTGTGGGCATCGAGCCAAAGACCAATCTCCATCCTGTGTCTTTGTTGCAAATGGAAATCTAAGCGTAACTGGTGAAAGCCAGAGAGAGAGAGACAAACAACTTTACAAGTTGGTCACTTTGTGTACGTATTGGTTCTGTAAGCTCAAAAAGATTTACGTTGTGGCCCTGGCGAACCTTTAGTCAGCGGCCGATCGGGTTCTATCACACCCACACACACACCTGCCTATCCTACACACGTGTTCACATACGTTGATTCAGTCATGTGACACACAACACACGCACGCACACCGTGACAATGCTTACCAGTCATGCGACGCCGACACGCACTAGGACAATGCAACCGGTCATATGACCATACAATCAATGTGCTTGACCTTGTGACATTAGCCCGTTAGTCTGGGTGATTAGGGTCCCACATAATCGATTGCGCACCGGACCATTAGGTACGACCTCTGTGGACTATATTACATTGTCTATTTACGCAGACTCGGGAAATCTTGATGTGAGTATTTATCCTTTCACTACTATCGATGTATGCCAATGGCCTATTTACGTGTACTAAATGTTAGTTATTTATTTCCCACAGAACCGCATTGATATTCATATACGTATCCCCGTACGATAAGGTGCTTACGTTTTGCTCAACTCAACCGGGATTGTGAACAATCAATCGAGTAATCAGACCGAGATAAGATTTACGTTAAAGGAGAGATCCACGAAGCTAACAGGTTCCCCATATTTATGCACTTCTATATAATAACTCTTTCAGATTGCTTTAATTCTTTTTTCCCCCCAATCCTCATCCCAGCTATTTTTTTTATCTTTCAGATATTGTAGTCCGTTTTCAGACAACCACTGTAGGATATAGTACAGGAACTAACTGATCGTGCAATAATGCGACCAGTCAATACTACTCTGCATCGTTTGTGATACTCATGTGAACGTGTCCAATCAACACATTCGTCCTCGCTTTTTGATACTCATCTGTGTTACAGTATGGACGACCAATCCAGATGGTGGGGTGTAGATTGGATACAAAGAGAATGAAAAAAAAAACATTTTATCCGCATACTCACACTTTTGTTTTGTCCACGTGCAGAAAGGAGCGAACTTCGTAGTCATAACATTCCGCAATAAAGTAGAAATTCGAGATATCAAATCAAGGCGAGAATATCTGAACAGAGCAAATATAAGGATATTATTGGTATATGTGCAGTCCATAGATCGCATAGAAACTTGGTATAAACTAGTGCTTGCTCGGAGTCCGAGCTGGTAGATTAGTGCGAATGGCGGTCTTTCATACAGTCTCCATTTATCACTAATTGTTGTGGTCAATCTGAGTGCATATCTGTGCCGATGAGGGGTTGCGCCCAGTGTCTCGGTGGCACCTGGGTGTTTGAAGCTCGCTAACAAGGAACAGACTGTGTTCTGAGCATACGCTAACTAGCCTACCCCCATTTTCCGACAAAGTGATATTTATTACCAAGATTAGCCTCATCGGATGGTAAACATGCAACGATTGCATTAAGTTTTCCCGCCGAAATTTTGATATCCGTTTGAGGCGATTCGAGAAGAAACTTTTGTAAGCTGTGGTAGAAACTACCATTGTTTCTACCTCGGGCTCAGTCTGTGGGAGCATAAACCGAAATCACGAATTAGCACCGTTCGTTTGATTTCTGTTGTTCACTTCAAATGAATCTCGGAATCTGCGCATAGTCGGTTGCTTAGCGGAATCCAATCCAATAGAGCAGTCTCGCCCCTGGCACTTAAAGCAATACGAAGGCTGATGCGTCAGAGTCCCCCAAAATACTGTAGAAGCGCCTCTTTGGGAATAAAGAAATGCGGTAATCGAATTACCGAGCTCAGATTTTGAAAGCGTGTCTCCGAGAGGAAATACGCACCTTCAACTGTACGAGCCCAACCAGTTCGTTTTCCTTTACGCATTAGATCTCTGTCGTTGAAAGAGTTTAGTTTGAACGCATAACAAAGCCGTAAGAAGTGAAATGGTAGAGTTCGAGTGACCTGGCATTGCTGAATTCCTTATCGAGGAGGATACCGGCAAGCTACAACATAGGCCTACCGAAATGGAACCATTCGAAACCGACGGGACAGTGAAAGGATGGGGTATTATATGGGGAGTAGATGGAAGTGCTGTATGCAGTTTTTGAAAAGAACGAGTTTTGCGTTACTGTAGAAATCTGAGACAGANTGTAATACTACCCGGTAGCCAAGGTCGAAGTCAATCACTTTCCTAGAGGGGCCATGCACGAAGCCCTTGTTCAAACGTAACGGTAGTGCACGATCCTCTCGAAGCCGGTATTTGACAGATCAGTTTATACTCCTGATTCGGTTAACCATTCAGGATGCCCAGTTTTACGTTGGTCTGTCCACTTCCCAGTGAGTGTTATGACTGTCGACTCTAAAGTGAACTTTGGAGTCCGGTTCTGGGTTAGACAGGATTTGTGCCACTATGAGTTTTTACATCAGGTGTGAGGTTCCGAATCCTATACTGACTACCAATAGTCAGTCAACCCGATAGAAAGCCCTGGGCATTCGCTTTTACTCTCCCCCACTTTAGTATCAACACCACTACGAGAAAGCAGTGGGAAGG